CGGACAGCCCCACTTGGGGGAGCTCCGCCACGCGGTCTGGCCTCCGCAGGGCCTGGCCCCAGGCTCGGGGGCGGGAGGGAGGGGATCCCAGTGCCTGCCCAGGAACTGCTGCTGTCCCAACTGACTGAGCTGACTCCTGTCTCCTCTGCTCCCCGACTTGGGCCCGGTGTTCTGGAGTGAGCCTCTCCCTTCTTCACTCTGCAGGGACTCCTGGTCCTGATTCTTCCTTAGGTGCCCAAGGATGAAGGTTAAGGGGTCTTGGAACTCTGTAGATTAGTTTGAAATCCCAGCTCTGCCAGCTATTAGCCTGTGACCTTGAGAAAGTGTTTTTAACCCCCCTGAGCCTCAGTTTCCTCTTCTGTGAAATGGAAATATACAGGCTATAGCGCCTACCGCATAGAATTGTAGTGAGGATTGAAAGAAACAGCGTTTATCCAGTGCTGAGCAGGGTGTTCATACTCAGAAAGCACCCAGTAAGTGTGCATTTAAACCGGAGGCTGAGAAGATCTTTTGGGATCTTTTGAAATAAGATAGGGGTACCCCTAAGAAATCAGTTTTCAGTTAATTGGTATCTGTGTGGAAGTTAGAGTTGGTTGGGGCTGAATGGCTGCCCCTCAGATAGTGAGCTCCCTGTCCTGAGGCCTGGGAAAGTACAATGACCAAGTTGGACTGGCCTTATTAGTAATCCAAACCACATGATCCCCATGTTGCACAACTGGGAAAACAGTCTCAGAGTGATTAGGTGACTTGCCCAAGGTCACACAGCCAAAAGGGAGGTTAGGCATACTTCTGAGAAGTAGAACAGACTGTTCCTTAAACCTCCTTATCAACTCCTGCCTTGGGAACTGCCTGCTCATTCCCTAAGGATCTGGTTTTCGGTTTGGGGGTCCTAGTGATTCCTGAGGGATCCAGAGCAGCTGGCTTTAGAGAGGGATGTTGGAAGGGGGTACTACCATTATAGCCACAGAATCTCGGTTTGGGCTGAGTGGAGAAGGTGTGTGGGAATGATCCAAGGAAGGTATTTGCTTTGGGAGGGCCACCAGGGCCACTTCCACCTCCCCTGGGAAACTCCCAACCCCTAGAAGGAGAAAGAAGCTTGAGCAGTTGAGGCGGGCTGCCTGCTGGAGCCTGGAAGAGAAGTGGGTGGAGGAAGTTGTATGAGAGGCGACTCCACCTGACTTGCTCTGGAATGCCAGGAGGCCGGCCTTCCGGTGGTCAGGGTTCTTCCTGAGGTTGGGACTAGAAGGGAGAGAGTCCTGAGGGCGGGGCCAGGAAGAGTTGGGACTTGACCTGGCAAGGCCCTGGAGTCCAGAATGGCGGGTTCTTTATGTATCTGGAGTCAGCCCTAGGTTGGCAACAAGAAACCTGAGTTCTGAGGATGGCTCCCCCTTAGGCTCAGCATCTGGCTTTGAGGGAGGACCTTCCTCTCTCTGTGTCTTGGTTTCTCTGTCTTTACAATGGGGACAGAGCTGACTGACTCATCTATATAGGATGTGGTTTTATAGCTTTGCTTCTCCTATGGACAGGGTATCCCTTCACTTTCCCCTCCTAACTTGACCTAACCCAACCTTTCTGCCCAGAACTCTGGCCCAGAGAGGAAGGGGTCAAGGAAGGTCAGAGTTGCAGTTCTTCACCCTGTGAGCCCCACATCTCCCACTGCTGGCTCTTCCTTCTATTTGCTATGTGATCCTGAGCCAGGGTCCTGCGCCTCTCTGGCCTCACCTTCCCTTTCTACACTCTGAGGGGGGCTGGGCTAGGATTGCTGGGGTATACTTAGCTATTATAACTCCTGACCCTAGATACCCTCATCTGAGCAGGGGGCTGGGGGGTGGGGCACAGTCCTCAGGAGCCCTTGCCTAGTGGACAAGCCCCTGGGCACTGGGAAGCCTCCAGAAGCTGACCAGGCAGCTCTCTCCAGCAAATAGCAAGCCCAGGCTAGCACCAGGCCTGATTCTGCAAAGCCTTTCACCCTCAGAGCATGTGAGGCAGCAGGCGGGGACAAGCAGGGGGTTGAGGTTCTGCAGGCTTCCATGGAGTCTTTGCCGCTGTGGACTGTGGCACAGGCACACAGAGCCCACAGAGCCTGGGAAGGGACTGAAGGTGCAGAGGGGCCCTGGGCCGGTGGGTGAAGCAGTGTGAGCTGATGGGGGGCCCTGAAACATGGAGGCTCCAAGGCCTGGGGAGGAGATGGGCCATTCTGTCCACTGGGAGGTTTTAGGATTGGTTCCTGAAACAAGAGAGACTAGCTCCACCAGCTCCTGTAGTCTTAGGCCTGTCAAGCCTGGCACAGGTCTCCCAATCTATTCAAGCTTGGTCTTAGCACAGATTTCGTTCATTATCTTTCCTCTGAAATTGAGGGTGAATGTTCTCATGGGATTCCAAGTCTGTCTTCCTCATCCAGGGCAGCAGCAGTCCAAACTTAGGGGCTAGGTGGCTTCCTTCTCACACTCCTCACCCCCATAGCACAGCTAGGCTGAGGACTGAGCACAAGGGCTGGCTTCACCACTGAGTCCCAGCCTTGCTCCCATGGGCCCTGACAGCACACCACTCTATCCCCAGGTCTGACAAGATGTACCAGGTCCCACTGCCGCTGGACCGGGATGGGACCTTGGTCCGGCTCCGCTTCACTCTGGTGGCCCTGGTCACGGTCTGCTGTCCACTTGTCGCCTTCCTCTTCTGCATCCTCTGGTCCCTGCTCTTCCACTTCAAGGAGACTACGGCCACACACTGTGGGGTAGGGCTTTGGAGGAGGGGTACTGATACCTCATATTCAGGCCCAATCAGATCTATTTTGGATCCTGATTCGACTGTAATGGGGTTAGCCATCAAACATACTGGGCTGCTGGGGGGGATGCTGCAAATTGAGGTCCCAAGGATTTGTCTCCCTCCACCTTCCATGGAGGTTGCTGGGGGCCAGGGTCCCTGAAGTTGGGCAGCCCCGGAACCCAGAATCCAAACCTTACTTCGCAGAGGGGCAGATTGAGCAGCCCCAGGGTTTTCTGGGGGATGGAGAGAGAATAAGACTGGGCTAGAGGACACTTGGGGCTTCTCAGTGTGGCACTGTGGAATTGTGTGTATATATATGTGTGTAACTGTGAGGGGTGTGACTATAATGGCTTTGGGTGGCGTATGTGTGTGAGAGAGACCGTTATCTGTGCCCTTCTGGTTGGGGACCTGACTATGTGTATGGATATGTGTTCTGGGGTTTCCATAGGTGGCCATATGCCCTCTGGACAGGGACATGGGGTACTGGGCCAGGAAGAAAGTTGTGAGAGTTCTTTCTCTGTAGGTTATTGGAGTAAATGGGGTGAGACTTGTGTGCACCTTTCTTATCTTCCTAGTTCATCCACTGACTCTGTATATGACCTGAGACACAGAGACTGAGCCTCAGTTTCTCCATGTCTAAAACAGGGTTGATAATTCCTGTCCTCCTCCTTCTCAGGGTTAGTGTTGGGCTCCAGAGGAAATAGGAAGGTGGTTCATGGAATGTAAAGGATAAGGAGCAGAAGGAAGAAGAGGAAAAAGAGACTGTTGGGTTGGAAGGCAGGGCAGGAAAGGAAGTTAGCCTAGGGTCTCTAGGCGGGAAAGTGGCAGGTCCTGGGCACAAACCCTTGGACTAGCCTCACAGAGAGCTCTAAAGGCCTTCAGTCAGCTGAGATTCTCACCTTCCTATAAAGAGCATCTGCTCCAGAAAAGGGGTTCAACTAGGAGTGGTGTCCGGCTGGTAGGGTTGGGGGCCCACTTTTTTTCCTTTTATATCTCTTATAATTTGGGGGTGGGTAACTAGGTCTATTTATTTATTTATATTTTTTTGATGGAGGTACTGGGGATTGAACCCAGGATGTACTCTACCACTGAGCTATACCCTCCCTCCTCTTTTGTTCATATGACTTGAAGTTTTCCCTCTTCTCAATTTGTTAATGGGTGGATGTGGGCCTTGAGCTGTGGGCAGCCAGTCTGATGAGGCCCAGGGCTGGGAGCTATCAGAAAGAACAGGAGAAAGAAAGAAAGAAAGAAAGAAAGAAAGAAAGAAAGAAAGAAAGAAAGAAAGAAAGAAAGAAAGAAAGAAAGAAAGAAAGAAAGAAAGAAAGAAAGAAAGAAAGAAAGAAAGAAAGAAAGAAAGAAAGAAAGAAAGAAAGAAAGAAAGAAAGAAAGAAAGAAAGAAAGAAAGAAAGAAAGAAAGAAAGGAAGAAAGAAAGAAAGAAAGAAAGGAAGAAAGGAAGAAAGGAAGAAAGAAAGAAAGAAAGAAAGAAAGAAAGAAAGAAAGAAAGAAAGAAAGAAGGAAAGAAAGAAGGAAGGAAGGAAGGAAGGAAGGAAAGGAAAGAAAGAAAGAAAGAAAGAAAGAAAGAAAGAAAGGAGAAAGAAAGAAAGAAAGAAAGAAAGAAAGAAAGAAAGAAAGAAAGAAAGGAAGAAAGGAAGGAGAAAGAGAGAAAGAAAGAAAGAAAGAAAGAAAGAAAGAAAGAAAGAAAGAAAGAAAGAAAGGTAGGAAGGAAGGAAGGAAAGAAAGAAAGAACAGGACTGGAAAAAAAGAGGGTGACCAGGTGATCTGAGGGGGAGGATCAGAAGGGTCCATACAATAGCCTCTCCTGACCTATTTCTCACCTTAGGTAATACATCAAATGTTCTATTACCCTGGTCAGCTCCTCTTCACCCTGCAAGACCCTGCTCAAGTTTCTCTTCCAAAAAGCCTTCTCCAGCCTCCCTGGGGCAAGCTTAATCACTCCCCGATCTGGGTGCCCACAGTTCCCTGTGTTCTCTCCTAAAGCGTTCTATCATATCATGAGTGTGTCTTTCTTCCCTACCAGACTGGAAGCTCCTTGAAGGTGGGTACTGCATCTGAATCAGAAAGTATTTGCTGAATAAGTGGATAGGATGCCTCCTCCCTCCACCAGCCCAGTGCCCTGGGAAAAGGAAGGCATGATATAATGCAGTCATTGTCCGTATAGAAAATTATAGTATTTGTATAGCATATGGAGTTAAATGGAGTAGGCTGTTCGCTCTGGTCCTCATGGCTGGCTCCAAGGGCTAATGGGATCAATAACCTCAGCATACCTAGAACCCATTCTTGGCATGCTAGTTAGGGAGCTAAGGCATAGGTAGTTGCTGGAGGGTTACCTGGCCCTCTGGGGCAGGACTAGGTCTAGTGGCCTGGAGGGTATTTTGTCCCCACTCCCTGGGACTACTATGGTGGATCCACCTGGGGATTTTCGTACATGCTCTGAATTTCTCACCCAGAGTATCCCAGGAATGGCCAGCCTGAGGAATAAAAGAAATAGCCTTAGTCTGACACTTCTATAGTTAGATGACCCTGCCTCTACTTGCACATCCCCAATGATGGAGAGCTTCTTTCCTCCCCAGGCAGCCTGTTCCAGGAGACTTAGTAACTAATAATTAGCACGCTCTTTCTCATAGTGAGCATATACTCTCTGGTGAATCTCTGTCTTGGCTCTGGCTCTGCTTTGGGACCCTTAGAGCTACTCTTTCCACCCGGCTTCCAGCTGGTCCTGCAGAGGTGGGAAGCCAGTAATGGTGGGGGAGGGGTGTCCCCTGATTTTACTCTTCTTAGGTAGCATAGCTCCAATTCCTTCAGGCAACCCTTACAAGACATGTGCCCCTGGACTTGGTCCAGTTGATCACTGTTTTTTCCTACGCCCTGATGTGGGCATAGAACTTCATATGCGTTGGGAGGTACAGGCAAAAGCAGGACTGTTCCATTCCTGTTACTGGCTATTAGACCTCTGTTAATGCAGCCTGAGCTGCCATTAGCTGTTTCTGCAAAGGTACAGGCTGGACACTGATACCTCATATTCAGACCTGTCTAGGTCTCTTTTGGACCCTGAATCTATTGTCTAAGCTAATCCTAAATCTAAGATTAGCTAGCTCTCTGGTGGGGCCTAATAAACATACTCAGTCCTGCCTCAACAAAAAGGGGAGAAATCCTACTCTGCTTTCTCCCTTTTGCTTCCTAGAAACCTGCCTATATCCCTGGACTCAACACTCAGAAAGGGCCCCACCCCCATCCCTGGCAAGGAAGCCGCTGTGGCCTGACCTCAGCCACTATCACTTCTTACCTTTGCAGAGTGTTCTGGGATTTATGACATGGCTTTGTTGGTCCTGGGAAGGCTGTGTGCCTGGGCAGGCGTGGAGATCTTGGCTCTGTGGGCGGGAGGCAGGCCCTAGAGAACTGGGGGTGGGACCCTCCAGTCTTAGAACAGTCTCAGTCTGGCTAGAGCCCTCAACCCAAGCCCTGGATCCTTCAGCACCCAGTGTGAGTGTTGCTTAGTGCGCCCACCCTGACCCCAATTCCCTGATGCTGAGCTGGACTAGTGGAATAGGGTCCCCTTAATGGAGGGAGGTCTGAGTCCCAGGGGAGATTTGGTCCTAGGCTTTTAATACAAAGCCATCTCTATCTGCCTTCCCAGGCGGGATCCCAACTTGAGGGGCCATGGTGGTTGGGGCATTGGGGGTGGGAGGAGGGAGTTCTCTGCCCAGAGGGAGAAGGTAGTAGAAGAAGCCCAGCTCCCGCAGCCTGGGTCTGTCCTTCTTGGGTCTGGCCCAGCACAGCAAGCTTAGCCCAAGGGGAGAAGTTTCCCATGACCCTCAGATTCCCCAGAACTTTGGACTGGGTGACATGGTCTTCTCAGAGAGGAAGGGGGTAGAGGTCTGGGCCTCCGGAGGGACCCTGATATCTTGAGATCGAGGTACTGCTGGCCTGAGACTTGGATCATTCTGAGCCTGGGGGTGGGATGGCTGGCAGCCTGTGGCCCCACCAAAATAGGTTCTGGGGCACTTCCATTGTTCCTAGTTGAACTTGGGTGAAGAGCAGGAATGTGGTCAGACAGGGTCAGTGGGAAGGCTTGGGCCAGTTTGAGCCAAGGGGCCTTTGTCTAGGTTACTTGGCCTGAAGAAAGCCTTGACTTGCAGCCTTAAGCTGTCAGGTGGCAAGAGGCCTTATTCCTAACATTTGATCCTGGCATAGTTCTGGGCCTCAGTCTTCCCTTATGTGGAATGGGAATAATAACCCTTTCCCCTCTGATCTGTCTCCTGAGTGGGTATGAAGGTCATGAGAATGAGGTGGGCCATCAGAATTTCCATGTCCAGGCCACTGGGAGCCTCTGTTCTCCAGGCTTTTCAAGAGGGGAACCTACAGTACCAGGGTGCCAAGGGGATTCCTAAGAGCTAACCCTGCCTATTTCTGCTGCTCTTGCCTCATCTCTCTCTTCTCCTCTTCTGCCCTATTTTCCTTTTTCCCTTATGTCCTTTCTACTCTGGCTCTTCCCTATACCTTGAGGAGCCAGCTCTGGAAAAGGTCTCACTTTCCTAGGCCCAGGTATCCCACCAGACCCCAAGTTGCATCCCTCGCCCTGCTCGGGCACCACTCCCTACAGGATGTTCTCTGCGGCCTCCCAGCCCTTGGACACCGAGGGGACTGTGTTCCGGCTCCGCTTCACAGCCATGGTCTGGTGGCTCATCACTTTCCCTGTGTTCGGCTTCTTCTTCTGCATCATCTGGTCCCTGGTGTTCCACTTTGAGTACACGGTGGCCACTGACTGTGGGGTGAGTCCCAGGCTCCCCAGCACCTGGGTCAGGGCCAGGTCAGGAGATGGCAATAAGGGTGGAATCAGAGAGTAGGAGAGAAGGCGGAGGGACAGAGAGAGGGGAGAGGGGTAAAAGGATGGTGAGGGGAAAGTTAGAGAGTAGGAGAGAAGGCGGAGGGACAGAGAGAGGGGAGAGGGGTAAAAGGATGGTGAGGGGAAAGTCAGAGGTAGGGGAAATTTGTGGAGGAGACTCATGGAAAGTAGAGTCACAGTCCTCCAACACCAGAAGAGGATTGTAGAGGGTGCAGGGAGCAGAGGTGGCGTGGGGGAAGGAGGGGAGTGGGACTAGGTAGAAGAGGTCGTGAGAGGGAGAAGGGGGCTGAAAAGAGACCAAACTGGAAAGGAAGCTAGGACTGAGGAAGTAACATGCGACCAGGAGCCAGGAGAAGTAACAGGTGGCTTTAGCCCAGACTAGGGGCCTGACCTGGGAGGACTCCTAGCCCTGCCCTGGGTACTTCTAGCTTGGTTTCTTTTCTGGCAACCTCAGGCTCCACAGCCTGTATCCACTCAGGGCTCTGCCAGCTAGAAACCTAGGAGTTCCTGCCTCCAGTAGCGGTCCACCGAGCCTTTCCTGAGGGCCCAGGGGTGGAGGTTCTGTATAAGGGGCATGGAATTGAACATGGACTTGCCCTTAGCATCTTATTCCTACAAGAGACACACCTAGGCACAGACAGTCACAAAACAGTGAGATAGGATTCCTTTTGTGACAGAAGGGAGCACAGGGATGACGGGGCCCAGAGGAAGCACTCAGCCCAGCTTAGATGTTGGAGACTTCCTTCCTGGACAAGGAGGAGTTGTTGCTGTGGGAGTGAAGAAGGATCTCTGTGAACACCAGGCTGACAACTTTTGATTTTATCTAGAGGGCAACGAGGAGTTTTGGAAAGATTTTAAGCAGGAAAAGAACATGATCAGATTTGAGTTTTAGAAGACCATTCTGGCTCCCTGAGTAGAAAACAGATTTAAGGAGAAGGGCAAGAGTAGGGAGTAAGGAGCCCAGTGCAATAGCAAATGGTACTGGGGAGACCAGAGCTAAGATGGGGACTGTGAGGATAGAGAAGAGGGGATGGAGTCTAGAGAAGAGTAGCAAGTAGGATTGACAGGAATGGAAGTTTTTTGTCCAGTTGGCAAGGGGTAGGGGTTGGGTGGGCAGTAAGGTAGACAGAAAAGTCATCCATAATTTCAGAAGACTTTTATCTGAGGCCAAGGGAATGAATCTCTAATGGTGAAACATGAGGTGCTATGGTAGGGAATGTTTTGGACCCCCCCCCTTTTATACCATGTGAAATTCTGATACAGTACCCTGCCATAGATCCGCTGAGCCTGTCCTCCAGGCCAAAGGGTTTTTATTCTTAGGGAAAGGGGTTATATTCCCATCTCTCAGTACCCTTAGCTCTGGGCTTATGGGGATGTTTGGGGTGAGCTGTGTACGTGGACTCTGATAGCTCCTGATATTGCTTGTTGCTGACATAGCTGGTGAGTGGGGAACTTGTGTGCTTGGGATGGGGGGAATGCATGTATATGAGTATCTATACCTGATTATGCATGTGTGTGTGTGTATGTGTATGAGACAGAGAGAAAGAGAGAGAGAGTGATGGGAGAAGCAATCCCTGCTCCTAGAATCCTGCCCCTACCCCTAATCTGAGAGGAGCTTCTGAGGATAGGACCCTAAATCTCTCATCCTCCTTAGGCATCTCCCAAACTCTCTGCCATCTCAAGCCTTTACCTATTTCCCAGTATCAATCAGGACTCTGGGCCCTTGAGTGCTCTGGGCCCTCCCAGCCAAGCTTTAGATGCTGGTACTGTTCCCCTTAAGTAGCTGAGATTGGGGCAAGAACTTTCAGAATAAATATTCTAGGAAGTGGAGGCAACACTCCCACTAACTTTACACACGGGACCTACTCAAAGAGGCAGAAAAGTCACATAAGGAGGCTTGAGGGGTCTCAGATGTGTCTGGTGAAGATACAATTCCCACCTCTCAGTCATATGCCAGCCTTCCCATGTTCAGTAGCCACATAGCTCACAGCCTATTTGCTGGCTTTTCAGGGAAGTTTGTCTCTAAAAAGTCATCGCTTGTACCCACTGTGCACCAGCCACTGCAGATGCCTTTAGTATTCATTATATTTAGTATTCACCATCACCCTGCAAGGTAGGTGATGTCATCTCTATCTTGCCAATGAGGAGGTTAAAGCTCAGGTGAAGTGACTTGCTCAGGGTCACCCAGCTAATAAAGGCAGAGCTGGGATGCGGGACTAGGTTTGTGTGACCCCAAAGCCTCCATGCTGCCTCTTCACTGATTATGCAGAGTGAATATCTGAGTCTGGTCTCAAGCTATGATATCTCAAGCCATGGCCTTGAGAGTTTCACCCTCTCTCCGAGAGCTCCGCACTTAGCTTCCTCTGACAGAGCTGAGGGGAAATCTATCTCTGTTTCTATGAAGGCTGTGAAGGCCCTGGCTAGTCCTGCCGCAGGCACACCCCTGCCCTGCTAGCTGCATCCATACTTGCTTGCCTTGCCAGCCATCTTAGAGACCCATTCAGCATCTCCATTGGGAGAAAGGAAAGGATGTTCCAGAACTTCATCTCTGAAGACTGGCCCTGCCGTAGTGACAGCAGGGTCATTCCCTCTCTGGGTTGCTGAGCTCTGGCACTGCTCTGGCTGTTGGTGAAGGTCTGAAAAGTCCATGGAAAGTGTGGGCAACAGGCTGGTAGCTTCCATGGTCATGGAATCTTTTTAGGAATACAGATTCTCAGATTCCAGACCTTCTGCCTTCTCACACAATCCCAGATGAGTTGCATGTATATTAAAGTTTGACAAGTACTGCTCTAGGCTGGAGTCTAAGAGATCCTCCTCCCATTCCCAGCCTTTCTGTCCCCATCAAAACTACTGTTCACCCATCCCTCATTCTCTCCCTCCCATATAAAAAAAACACCAGTCTTTGCAGCTGTGTGGTATTATCTCCTCCTTACTCAACTGTAAAGAATGATACTCTAGCTCCCTAAGAAATGAGGAATTCCAGGCTTTGAGAAAGACAGATGAGAGAGATGCATAAGAACAGGGTCATTGTATTAGACTACCCCAGGTTTGGAGCACCCACTTTCTTAAACATGATCAGAGTTGGGGTACTCTTCTGGCCCAGCTGCTCTGGGATCTCACAGTACCCTCTACTGCCTTGGTACCCCTGACCAGAAGAACAAGTTTCTCAGAACAAGAAATTGAGAGCAGTCAGGAACAGCTCAGCTGGGCAGTGAATCCAGCACTGTCCCAAGGAAGCTTAGATGGTCTGTGACTCATTTCTGCCATTGGGACCAAATCTGGGTTGTGGGCTCATGGAACCTCCCACAGGGGTATATCAAAGGCACAGCTCTGTGCTATGGGCTCGAGAACCTCTTGTCTTGTCTACAGCTTTCCCAGCCATGTGTAGGGAGATGGACAAGGTCCTATATGCCCCTGCACAAACCTCAGGCTGGCTGAGGAATAAGAAGCAGGCACACTGGGGGCCCAGGCCCTGGAAGGGGAGGTCTCCCTGGAGAGCTCTGGGGGAGCTGAAGGAGGACTTCCTAGAGGCTGGAGCAGAGTCTCCTGAAGGCCAAGGTGATTACAAGAAAGATCTCAAGGTGGGCAGGGTGGGTGGGGCTGGCAGGGGGCCGGCACCCAGATGGGTCACAACTCTCTAGGTGCCCAATTACCTGCCATCGGTGAGCTCGGCCATCGGCGGGGAGGTACCCCAGCGCTACGTGTGGCGCTTCTGCATTGGCCTGCATTCAGCGCCCCGCTTCTTGGTGGCCTTCGCCTACTGGAATCACTACCTCAGCTGCGCCTCCCCGTGTCCCGGCTACCGCCCACTTTGCCGCCTCAACTTCAGCCTCAATGTCGTGGAGAACCTCGCGCTGCTAGTGCTCACCTACGTCTCCTCTTCCGAGGACTTCAGTGGGTGCCCAGACAAGGGAAGGAGGAGTGGGGAAGGGTTCGGGGAGGGGGACCCCCCACCCCCACCCCCCCACCAACCTTCTTGAC